CAATCAGATGGGAGAGGTACAAGTCTGCCTTGGGAACCACCTAGTCTGATGGGAAAAAACAGACCCTGTCCTTGGGTGCTTATAGGCATTGAGAAAACAAAATATTTGCAAGCAGAAATTCACTCATAACTTGACTTAAATGGATTTGGATCCTTTATGTCCTGGTACCTGAGGTAAATCACTCCCTGAGCCAGCGGGTCCCCTACCCTGAGGGGAGGCAGGCCACCCCCTGCCTCTCATGCAAGATCTCAGGGAAGGGAAATGATTTCACCATCAGCTAAGCTGAATTCCAGGAGGGTAAAACTGATGCCTAAGAACACGGATTGATATAAAAATGAAAAATTATATGCTTGGCTTTTGATGACCTGAACCGTGAATGGGTGTGTGTTACAGGAAGAGCTTGCAGACCACTGACCAATAGCCATGGAGCTGCCACATACATGGAGGAGACCTGGCTTCTCTATGCCAAGGGAAGCTGGGGGTGGGGAGGAGAGGACATGCTGTCAGTTTTCTGGGTGCTGGGAGCTGCTCTCTCCTGTGACTCAGTAGGATCTGGCTGTACATGGATGAGAACTGAGGATAGGCCCTCAGGAAACGTGGTTTGAGCATCAGGATTGCTTCTGTCTTGCTGTGCAAACTTAGGGGGCATGTTTTTTCCCTGTCTCTGGGCCTCTGTATTGCAAAAGGAGTAGATCAAAGGCGTGGGCCCCCCACCTCCAGCTCTCAGAAGCAGCGTGGGTGGAGCTCAGGCTTCCACACCAGACCTGGGATTTGAGTTTGGTTGTGATCTATTGCTTCAGCCAAGTAGCTCTACCCATTTGAATTTCATTTCCTTATCTGTACATTGAAGATGACAGCAGCACACAGCTTTTAAGGTGGTTGTGATGTTATGGGTAAAGTGCTTACAGCAGGGCTGGGCTCAGTAGGTGTGGCTGTCATTATTATTATTTAGGAGAACCCACAATCAGATGGCAGAGATACAGCTCTGCCTTGGGAACCCCCCAGTCTGATGGAAAAAGACCCTGTACTGGGGAGTTTAGGCATTGAAAGAATAAGATACTTACAGGCAAAAATCTGTTCATAACTAGGCTGAAGTACATTTGGATCCTCTGTCTTCTGGTGCTGATGATATTATAGTAGGAAACAGGGACCTTAGAGAACCCATGGCTCACAGGGCCCAGCGGACCCAGTGTGCTGTCCCAAGCCCTGTGGCTGGAGGGACTCCTTTCAGTTCATTGAACATTTGCAGGAGCTGCAGGGCTTGTCCCCTAACCACTGTCATTTTATTACCCAGTCCTCTTTCTGATCCCTGGGACCCTGTTCTAGGGAGTCACCTTGATGCCTGCCTACTGCTGGGGATAGGCAGAAGAGAGGTGCCCCCCAGCCTGGACCTCTCAGAAGCTACCTGGCTCCCAGGTTCCTTCTGGAGCTGGAGGAAACCCAGCCTAGTTTGTGCAGTGGTGCCTGGGAAAGGGGGAGGCTTCAGACTTGGGGTAAATTCTGGGGGAAGGAACGAGGAGGCAGAGGCGAAGTCTTGCTGCTCTTGATGGTAGGAGACCTTCCAGGAGCCCGCGCTTTCAGGCTGGGGTAGGCAGGGGGCCTTTGCTATGGAAGAGCCCCAGGAGTGATGGGGACACCTTGTCAGCCACCACCTACCCTCTCTACTTATGAATGAATGGGTCTAGGACAGCAGGCCCTGTTCTTGGCCTCCTCTAGGACTAGGGAGTAGAAGAGGAGCAGCCTAACATGACTGGAGTGCAGGGTGCTACTTGTGGAGCCAGACAGTGAGTGCCAGCCCCAGATGTGAGGCTGAGTCCAGGCAGCACAGACATGGAGAGCTGCCCCCTTAGGTTCCTCCTGAGCACTTGGGTGTCACCTGACCCAGGCCCTCATTTTACAGATGAAGTAACTGACACCTAGAAAGGGCCAGTTATTTACCTAGAGCCAGGACTAGAATCCAGACCTCTGGACTCACAGCCCAGGACTCTTTCCCCATAACTATGTGGTAGAATAAGGCCAGGACTCCACAGCCTCATTTCTGTGCAATCTGGGTCCCCATGGCTGTGAGTGAATGAATGAATGAATGAATGGAGAAGAAAAAATGAATGCTGTGTCTCTCTCCTCTCCTCCAGCAGGGCCCCTGGCTGGAGTCCTCCCCATTTCAGTCATCCCCCAATAGTCCTATTGGACTGAGGGAGAACTGGAGGTCAAGGCGAGTGGCTGTGGGATGAGCCTCTGTGGGATCTGCAGCTTCCTGGCTTCCCCTCCCAGAGGTCTCAGGGTTCAGGGAAGCCACAGTGTGGTGGGCAGGCTGATGGGCACTGCAGCAGAGAATGTCTGCTGGGAGGCAGAAAAGCCCTGCCTGGGGGCGGGGGATGAGGGGTATTGGTGAACATCTGGGGTCCCCACCCCAGGCCTGGGGTGAGACGACTCCTCTGTGTGGGCTGCAGGTACCTGCTTTCCTCCTACAGAGTTGGCCACCGAGGCTCCTGCTATAAATCATGAGCTAAGGGGCTAGAATCGGGAGAGGAGCTGGGCGAGGCACTGTGGGGGAAATTCACAGTGGTGATTTTCTCCCCCATGTGGGAGCCGAGGGAGCTGTAGTAACTCTGCCATCATGGCTCCTTGTCCATATCACCCATGCCCCGCCTCCAGAGGCTCCATTGACCTTGCAGGAGCAGGGGTAAGGCTACCATAGGGAAGATGCAGGAGACACTTCAGCCAGAAACTCCAGACACGGGGATGGTCTGAGTACACAGAAACAGGTGAGTACTGCAGGCAGCCGTGTGTAGAGGCCGGGGTGAATGGGGTAGGTAGCCTATGGGGTACCACTTAGCCTTTTGACAAATAGCAGGCGCCTTGCATGTGCCAGCTCTGTTGGTGCCAGGTGCTGCCGAGCATGACAGATGTGAGCCAAACCCTCTGGAGCCCAGGGGCAAGATGGACTTGAATGAAATAAACTGCAAACACATCCTCCCTTGGGATGGAGAGCCTCCTTGCTGATTCCTTATGTCCAGAGGGAATCTGGAGGAACCACTGCCCTCCAGTGTCTGTACCAGGTCTGAGGCCTGGGAGCTGCCTTCCTGGCCCACGCTGACCTCCATCGAGATCTTAATTACAGCTGCCTTTCCTGTGCTGGCCTCTCACTGTGACATCTTCATACCGCTCTGGGACCATCAAGTTTCCCAATCTCTGCTGATCTCTTCCAACCAAGTCTCAGGAGCCCCAGCTTTCTGTGGGGTAAAGCCTGTCTGGGTCTGGATTATGGAGAAAGCCCTATCCCAGTCTCTTCCCCGACTTCTCTGAATACCTACGTTTCCAGGTCAAGGGCTCAGGAAGGATGATACTGAAGCAACAGAGGTGAGGGGAGAAGGGAGAGAGGCACCTCTGTGGGACTCAGAGAATAATTTAAGTTGCCAAAGATTCCAGACCCAGAGGTAGCCTGGGGAGGAAGAAAGAGAGCCACAGACATCAGGAGGGAGTTTTCCTGCCATCTAAAGCTTTCTTCTGTGAGGAGCAGCCCTGTGCCAAATGGTATAGATTTACCCATGCCTAGGATGCGGACTGGCTGGAGGGGATATAGACTCTACTCATTCTAATGGGGGAGACAGTGTTATCCTCAGGGGGTAGCTAGTCTGATGGGGGAGAAAGCATTATCCTCGGGGGTAGCTAGTCTGATTCTTGGCTTGGCAACCTATCAGTTATGTAACCTTGGGCAAACCATGGAGCCTCAGTTTCTTATCTGTAAAATGGGGTTAAAAACACCCAACATCGTGGCCGGGTGTGGTGATTCAGGCATGTAATCCCCGCACTTTGGGAGGCCAAGGCAGAAGAATTGCTTGAGCTCAGGAGTTTGAGACCAGCCTGGGCAACATTGTCAGACCCCCATCTCTACAAAAAATATAAAAAAGAATTAGCTGAGTGTGATGGTGCATGCCTATATCTCAGCTGCTAGGGAGGCTGAAATGGGAGGATCACTTTATCCAGAGTTGTGGAGGCTGCAGAGAGCTGAGATTGTGCCATTGCACTCCAGCCTGGGTGACAGAGTGAGACCTTGTCTCTATAAAAAAGAAAAATTAAAAAGGCCAGGTATGGTGATTCATGCCTGTAATCCCAGCACTTTGGGAGGCTGAGGAAAGTGGGTCACTTGAGGTTAGGAGTTTGAGACCAGCCTGGCCAACATGGCAAAACCCCTTCTCTACTAAAAATACAAAAATTAGCCGGTCATGGTGGAGCATGCCTGTAATCCCAGCTATTCCGGAGGCTGAGGCAGGAGAATCGCTTGAACCTGGGAGGTGGAGGTTACAGCAAGCTGAGATTGTGCCACTGCACTCCAGCCTGGGTGACAGAACATGACTATGTCTAAAAAAATAATAATAAAATAAAAATATTAGCTGGCATGGTGGCACATGCCTATAGTCCCAGCTACTTAGAAAACTGAGGCGAGAGGATCACTTGAGCCAGGAGTTTGAGGCTGCAGTGAGCTATGATTGTGCCACTGCACTCCAGCTGGGTGACAGAATGAGACCCTAAGAAAAAAACAAAGCAAAACAAAACCCTGCATTGCCTGTCATGAGAGTTAAATAGAATAGTTTGTAAATCAAAAGGTGTGCATATGCACGCAAATAAGGGGACAAGATTAAATAACAGTAATTAAACTTTATCAAGCAAGCACCTACTCTGAGCCAGACATGGCCTTACTGAAGCCTCACAGTAACCCAGGGGGCAGATATTGTTAGTCTCACATTTTATAAACAAAGAAACCTTGGTATAGAGAAGGTATGCAATTTGCTACTGTCTCACAAGATTGAGGCTCAGACATCTGTCTTCAAAGCCTTAATCTCACCCAGGTTAACCGAGTGGACTGGTGGTTGAGGTGCAGCCAAGGGAGGGTAAGAACTAGAACTTTTTCCTCCCTCTCTCCCCTCCTTCCTTTCTCCTTGTCCGACCTACCCTCTATGGGAAGACAGAGCTCGTTCAGAAAAAAACCGGGCCGCAGGTTAGAAGAAAGTCTTAGGTTCAGGCTTTATTGAGAGGAAAGAGCCTCTGGGCGGGCCAGCCGGGAAGAAGAGGAAAATGGCCGCGTGTGCTCAGAGGAGCAGGGTTCTTTTATAGGGGGCTGAAGGGCTGAGGGAGTGGGAAGGCCGGGAGAGCCGAGGTGGTGGGCAACGGTTGGTCAGTTTGAAATGCCAGGCGGGGAAGCCGGGCGGCGGGAAGCTGGGAAGTGCTGATGAGGCAGGCGGTGATTGGTCAGCTGGTTGCCGGGCGGGAGGGCCAGAGCGGTATGTAGAGTGAGAGATAAGGGAGCCTCTTTGTGGGGGAGGGAAAGAGAGCTTTCACAATAGGGGCAGAGTTTTCCAAACATTCCCGACTCCTTAAAAGAAAAGAAAAAGAGAGGGGGTCAGGGGCGTCGGTTGTCTCTCTGGCTACTTCCTGCTGACAAGGGTCGACGGGGGGGGTTCTGAAGATGTTTCTTTTCCTAAGGAGCCTGGATGTTCGGGGAGAGGTCCGCTTCTAGCACTCGTTCAGGGTAAGGTTGGAGCAGCATCTGGTGGATGGTGACTCAAGTTAGTTCTTGAAAGCGCCGCTGTAGGAACTGTAGAAAACAAGGAGCAATAAGTAAGATTAGGCAAACGGCTATTAGGGGCCCAAGCAACGGGGACAAGAGGGTATACATAGAAGAAGACCACCACGCCGTGGCTTCAGCCGAGAATTTTTGATTCTGCAGGTTAGTTTTGAGTTTCTGGAGGTTCTCGATTCGGGTTTCTACTAGGCCGGATTCATTGATGTAGTAGCAGCACTCTTCTTGTAGGAAGATGCAGGTTCTTCCTCGCTCGGCGGTGAGGAGGTCTAACGCCCGGCGATTTTGTAGGGCGACTTGAGCCACTGAGGTGATCTGTCTTTGGAGAGAGGCTAAAGATTCTGCAGAATTGTCGATGGCGGCCTGAAATTGAGAGGTTAGTCGTGCTAGGGCCTGATGGGAGTGGGCTAGGGCTCCTCCCCCTAGTCCGGCTCCTATGGCTGATCCGGCAAGAGAGAGACCTACTATGAGGGGTAAAAAGGTGGCCCGTCATACACGATGATGTATGAATTGTTGTTGGAACTCTGCTGGGGAGTAAATGGTTAATCAGTGTACGAGGGTTACTGGTAAGCATAGGCTGCGGGAGTGTATAGAGGGGTTGAGGGTTTTAAAAAGTGTTCTGTTGCACTATCGCGTTCTCAGAGAAGAGCTCGGAGAAGGGTGAAATAGGGCAGGTAGGTAGATAGAGGAGGGGGGTCTGGTGGTAGGGGGGAGGAGAGTAAGAAGGGCCGTCAGTATAGCAGCTCAAAAGGGCTGAGTTATGAGGGGCCCCGGGGGCTTGCTCGGAGCCTTGTCAAAGTGATAGGAAGTAGGGTAACCTAGGACTGGCGGAGTTCGAGGGCAAGTTTTGTTAGGTGTTCTTTGATGAGGCCGTTGGCCTGTTCTACTTTACCCGAGGATTGGGGATGGTAGGCTGCATGCAGTTTCTACTGAATCCCTAAGGATGTGGAAATGGCAGTGGTGATCTTAGAAATAAAGGCAGGTTTGTTGTCTGACTGGATGGTAGAAGGAAGGCCGAATCGGGGAATGATGTCCCGGACGAGGTGCTTGGCTACAACTCCTGCGGTTTTATAAGCTGTGGGGAAAGCTTTGATCCAGCTGGAGTAAGGAAGAAGGGGAGATGTTACATTGCTGCAGGTCTGTCGCCAGGGCCTGGCTGAACAGGTGGGGGCTGTCCCGGAAGCCTTGAGGGAGGACCATCCACGTTAACTGTTGAGACAGATTGGTGACAGGATCTTTCCAGGTAAAAGCAAAGAGGAAGTAGGAGTCAGGGTGTAGCAGGATAGAGAAAAATCATCCCTAAGATCTAGGACTGAAAAGTGGGTTGTGGACGGTGGGATATGTGAGAGGATGGTATAGGGGTTGGGGACTACTGGATGGACCGGAATGACTGCTGCATTGATAAGGTGGAGGTCTTGGACCAGGCAGTACTGACCTGAGGGCTTTTTCACAGGCAGAATGGGAGTGTTGCAGGGGGAGTTTGCAGGAATTAGTAGTCCTTGAGCTTTCAGTTTATTTATGATAGGTAGGAGGCCGAGGCGGTGAACTTTGGAGATAGGAAACTGAGGGCGAGAAGGGAAGGCTGTGGGATCTTTTAGCTGTATGAGTGGTGTGAGGCTACAGTGGGGGTATCAGTATCCCATACTTTGGGATTTACGTCAGGGAGGAGTTCGGCCGGAGGAAGGGGGGAAGGTGAGTTGGCGATGAGGGGTAAGAGGAAGGTCTCTGTGTGTGGAAAAGTAATGGTAGCTTGCAATTTTACTAGGATATCTCACCCTAGGAGAGGTACAGGGCAAGAGGGAATGACTAGAAAGGAGTGGGTAAAAATGGAAGGGCCAAACAGACAGGTTAAGGGTGGAGTTTGGTGAGGAGTGGAGGGGGACCCATCAATTCCTATAACAGAGACCTGGGAAGGGGTGGTTTTGCCTGAAAAGGAGGGAAGAACGGAGTAGGTAGCCCCTGTGTATGCTCTTACCCGCTGCCTGGAGCATGACCCCGGGCTCAGCAAGGGTAACTGAGGTTGAGGAGCCAGGGCCCTGTTAATCATCCCTGAACCCTAACAGCTTTGGGATTGTAGATTCCTGAATGCCTGGCTCCTGACCAGCTGAGGCAGAAGCCTGGCTCCGGGGGATGTTGCCCTGCTGCCCCTGCCAGAGTTTTGAGGAACTGAGGCCTGAGGTGAGTTAGGGCAATCCGACTTCCAGTGTCCCATGAGCTGACAAATAGGGCAGGGCTTGGTAGGAGGCCGTGGCTGGGGCAGGCTTTTGACCAGTGCCCTTCTTTTCCACATTTGAAACACGCCCCGGGAGGGGTGCGGGTATTTGCTTTACCCTTGTTATTTCTGCCAGCCGAAGGGCTGCTACTAGGGCTTGGGTCTGTAGAGTGACTTTCTGCTTCATGCGAGTTTGGCGGGCAGCCTCAGCTGCATCTTCCCTGGCATTGAATACTTTAAAGGCCATTTTTACCAAGTCCTGTATAGGGGTTTCGGGGCCATCTTCTACCTTCTTCATTTTTTTCCAGATATCAGGGGCGGACTGAGATATGAAATGAGATGCTAGGACAGTCGCCCCGTTTTGTGAGGCTGGGTCTAGACGAGAAAAGCAGGTAAGGACGTCTTGAAGACGGGTGAGAAACAGGGCAGGGTTTTCATCGGGTAGTTGGGTGATTTCTCTTAGTTTATCATAGTTTACAACTTTGTTAGATACAATATCCATTCTCCTGAGGAGGTATCTAATCATGCGGTCTCTCTTGGGTATATCAGACCCTTGACTAGCCTGATAGTCCCATTGGGGGTCTTCACTTGGGATTACTTCGGGGCCTAGGGGGATCTGGTTATCTATAGCATGATCTTTATCTGCTTCAGTGCCTGCTACTTCTCGGAGTGGGGCCAGGATAGTAGGTTGGTGAGAGCGGGTGTGGGCTGCCACCAGGGAGGCAAGAGGAAGTGCGGCCTCTGAGGGAGGGGGCCCAGAGGGAGTGGAGGAAGAGCGAGGCATGGCCTCTGAGGTAGGAGGTGCAGAGGGAGTGGGGGAAGGGCATGCTGTTGATGGCGACTGGTTGCCGAGGTTGGCAGGAGGGGACAGATGTTCAGGCAGATCTTCCGGTGAGGAGTAGGGAGGGGGAGAGGTAGTGGAGGAAGATTTACGAGGGGTACGAGCTAAGACGGTTTGGTAGGTGGAGCAGGAAGAACATAGGTCAGGGTGGGTACGGAGGTCCCAAAAAGCCTGAACGTAAGGAATTTCATTGTCTTTGCCCATGCAGCGACAAAAATTGTCGAGATCTCGGAGGGTGTTGAAATCGAAAGTGCCAGTCGGGGGCCAATGTGACTGGTTACCGAGTTTGTATTGGGGCCAAGCCACCTGGGACAGGAAGACAAGCTTTTTCTTTCTGAGGGTTTGGGAGTATCCCAATTTGGTAAAATTTCACAGCAAGCACCCAAGGGGGGTGCTGGAAGGTATTTTGGACTCCAAATTTCCCATGGCAGGCGCAGCTACAGACCCTCCGGCGCAGTTGGGTAGATGCAAAGAAAAGGCATCCCCTTTCGTTGCAAATTCCCTGGAGTACAGTTAAGTACAGTTAGGGAAGTGGTCAGAGGGGCGTCCCCCGTCTGGCAGCTACCCCTCGGAAGGCTCCTGGAGCTGGAACGGAGGACTTCCTCGGCTCGGCCAAGACTAGGCGAGGAGTCCGTGCGGAACGCCAGAGGGGAGCAACTGCACCGTGCCGTGGGGGTGGGGGAAGGTAAAGCAAGAAAAAGCTTGGCTTACCTTAATTGGAGCGTAGAGGTGGCAGGGCCAATGTTGGGTAGGTCGGGGGAGGGGGCCGTGGCATGGCCAACAGCCCCAGCTCCTGGGTTTCGGCACCACTTGTCCGACCTACCCTCTACGGGAAGACAGAGCTCGTTCAGAAAAAAACCGGGCCGCAGGTTAGAAGAAAGTCTTAGGTTCAGGCTTTATTGAGAGGAAAGAGCCTCCGGGCGGGCCAGCCAGGAAGAAGAGGAAAATGGCCGCGTGTGCTCAGAGGAGCAGGGTTCTTTTATAGGGGGCTGAAGGGCCGAGGGAGTGGGAAGGCCGGGAGAGCCGAGGTGGTGGGCAACGGTTGGTCAGTTTGAAATGCCAGGCGGGGAAGCCGGGCGGCAGAAGGCCGGGCGGCGGGAAGCTGGGGAGTGCTGATGAGGCAGGCGGTGATTGGTCAGCCGGTTGCCGGGCGGGAGGTGGCTGCGGCCAGGCAGGAGGGCCAGAGCGGTTTGTAGAGTGAGAGATAAGGGAGCCTCTTTGTGGGGGAGGGAAAGAGAGCTTTCACGATAGGGGCAGAGTTTTCCAAACACTCCTCCCTTCCCATTCTCTCTCTTTCCTTCCTTCCTTCCTTTCTCTCTCCTCCCCTCCTCCTCCTCCCCTCCCCTTCTCCTTCCTTCCTTACTTCTTTCCTCCTCTCCTCCCCTCCTCCCTTCCTCCTCTCTTCCCCTCCCCTCCCTCTCTCCTCTCCTCCTCCCCTCCTCCCCCTCCCCTCCCTTCCTCTCCTCCCCTCCCCTCCTCCCCCCTTCCTTCCTTACTTCTTTCCTCCTCTCCCCTCCCCTCCCCTCTCCTTCTTTCCTTCCTTCCTTCCTTCCTTCCTTCCCTCCCTCCCTCCCTCCCTCCCTCCCTCCTTCCTTCCTTCCTTCCTTCCTTCCTTCCTTCCTTCCTTTCTTCCTTCCTTCCTTCCTTTCCTTCCTTTCTCCTCCTCTTCTCCTCTCTTCTCCCCTCCCCTTCCTTCTTTCATTCAGCAGCGTCTCAGTCTGTCACCCAGGCTGGACTGCAGTGGCACAGTCACAGCTCACTGTAACCTTGAATTCCTGGGCTCAAGTGATCATCCAGCTTCAGCCTCCCAAATTGCTGGGACTACAGGTGTGAGCCACCATGCCTGGGCAGAGCTTTTCTTTCAGAGATCTATCTACTTCTACTAGGTAATGTTCTTACATAGTACAAAATTCAAAAGGTGCAAATGAGTCAGAGTGGAGAGTACATCTTGCTTCTTTTATTGTACAGCCTTCCAGAGAGAACTTATCTATGCAGAGTAGGCATACATGTATTTATATGTTTATATAAATATTTAGATAGATTGGTAGATGATAATTTAATTTTTTTTTTTTTTTTTTTTTTGCAAAAAGAGGTCCATGCTAGCTGCACTTATTTCTAGGAAGCACTTTCCATCAGTCAGCAGTGAGCTCCCTTCGACAGGAGGTGTTTAGACAGAGGCTGAGTAACTGCCTGGGGCGTTACGGAAGGGAACCCAGCATTGCAGGGGCTGGTCTGTGCGTCTAGCTGAGTGGTTCCTGAATCTTCTCTCTCCCTACACTTTGCAGAGATAGAAGTGAGGTGTGGGGAGGTGGAGGGAAGTGACCTGTCCCACAGTGACTCTGCAGAAGAGCCAATGAAAACCAGGTGGATGAAAATGAGGCTGGGGCCAAGCCCATGGGGAGATGCTGGACAACACTTGAGTCCAAGATAGCAGCAGGCCGGGAGAGGCCCAGGAGAAAGCCCACCACGCTGTGGGTGTGAGCAGCGGCGGGGCAGGGACGACAGCATGTGCATCCCCCAAAGGCCTCCAGTTTGTTTGTAAAGGCTCAGGCAGGAATCTGCCCTCATGATCCTGAGGCCTCATGTTGCAGGGCTCAAAGCTGGCCCCGGGGACTGGGGGCAGCAACTGGTGTCTGACCCCCTAAACCTGGTGCCTCCACTGATCCACAGGCCAGATAAGGGACAGGTCCCCCCCTACCCCCGACCTCAGGGCCTTGAGGCCCAGGGCAGAGCGTGGGTGGTGGTGCTGTAGTGAGAGGGTCCCATTCACAGGACAGGAAACCCTCAAAAGAACTTCTCACCCACTATTTCCCATGCTTTAGTCATTTGCATTCTGCTTTCATAATGTTGGCCATTTCTAAGTTCCCTTGTATTTTTAAACTTAGAATAAAGTGCATTTATCTGAAATGTACAGCTTCACCAGTTTTCACATGCATATTCACCCGTGCAGTCTGCCCCATCATCATATGAAATATTTTCAGCACCCAGAAGCCTCCCTCACAGCCCCTCCCACTCAGTACCCCCCCAAGTAACCGTAGATCCATAGGTTAGTTTTATGTGTTTGAACTTCCCATAAATTAACTCATCCAGCAGGTCTTCTTCTTTGTCTTGCTTCCTTCGTCAACATCGTATCTGTGAGCTTCACCCATGTTGCTGGGCAAGGCAGTAGTGTTTCCTCATTCTTGCTGCCTAGTACTCAATGGTATGAGTATATCACAGTGTATTTATCCATTCTCCTATTGGTAATCATTTGATTATTTCTGGTTTGAGGCTATGAAAAACAGTGCCACTGTGGACAGTCCTGTTCATGTCTTTTGGTGGACACATGACTACATTTCTGTTGGGCATACATTTTGATAAATGTGTAACTACATGGGTCCACCATTATAATATCACACAGAATAGTTTCACTGCCTTAAAAATCCCCTGTGTTCAGGCCTGGCATGGTGGCTAATGCCTGTAATCCCAGCATTTTTGGAGGTCAAGGCAGGTGGATCACGAGGTCAGGAGTTCGAGACCAGCCTGACCAACATGGTGAAGCCCTGTCTCTACTGAAAATACAAAAATTAGCCAGGCGTGGTGGCGTGCACCTGTAATCCCAGTTACTCAGGAGGCTGAGGCAGGAGAATCACTTGAACCCCAGAGGCAGAGGGTGCAGTGAGCCAAGATAGCATCATTGCACTCCAGCCTTGGCAACAGAACAAGGCTCTGTCTCCAAAAAAGAGAAAAAAACAAAAATCCCCTGTGTTCTCCCTGCTCATTCCTCTCGCTAACCCTCTGAACCGCTAGCAACTACTGACCTTTTTACTATCTCAATAGTTTTGCTTTTGCAAAATGTTCTATAATCGGAATATGGCATGTGGCTATATGGCTTCATGCTTTCAGAGAAAGACTGGCTTCTTTCACTTAACAATATCATGTTAGTTTGCTACATGTCCTCTCAAAGCTTGGTAGCTCCTTTCTTTTTAACAGAATAATATTCCATTGTGTGGATTTACAACAGTTTGTTTACCCATTCACCTATTGAAGGGCATCTTGGCTAGCTCCAAGTTTGGGCAATTACGAACAAAGCTGCTATAAACGCTCATGTGTTTTTTTTTTTATGTGTGTGTGTGTGTGTGTGGACATAAGGTTTCAACTGAGTTGGGTAAATACCTAGGAGTGCAATTACTAGATCATATGGTGAGATTATGTTTCCCTTTGTAAGAAACTACCAAACTGTATCCAAAGTGGCCATACCATTCCACGTTCCCACCAGCAATGAACCAGAGCTGCTGTTGCTCTCCATCCTCACCAGCATTTAGTGGTATCGGATTTGGGGTTTTAGATGTTCTAATAGGTGTGTGCACCATCTCACTGTTGTTTTAATTTGCAGTTCCTTAATGACACAGGATGTCGAGCCTCTTTTCATATGCTTATTCGCCATCTGGATATGTTCTCTGAAGAGGTAACTGTTCAGATCTTTCACCCACTTTTTAAATTGGGTTGTTTGTTTTCTTATTGTTGAGTTTTAAGGGTTCATTGTATATTTTGGAAACAAGCCTTTTATCAGATAAGTGTTTTGCAAGTACTTTCTCCCAGTCTGTGGTTTGTCTGTTCATTCTCTTACAATATACTGTATTCACATTAAAATGAAACTTCATATCACAGTGGTAATGGGGAAAGCAGGATAATTTGCCATGGAAGAAGGTAACCATAAAAATTTAAAAACAAAAAGCCCAATGTTTCAAGTTCTTCTGCTCTGACAAAAAAAAAAAAAAAGCCCAATGTTATTCCATCCTAGCCAAGTCCTGCCACCTGCTTCTGAGCTGTGAGCCTGAGGCTTAATGTCTCTTGTTAGAAAAGGAACTAACAAGTGGCAAAGAGGTATGCAAGCCGTACCAGCCTCAAACCAAGACCTTCTCCTGGTCAAAACCAGAAAGCTTGGAAAATAATTTAAGGAGTAACTTTTTTCCATGTAAGCAATCTTATTTAATGCTGGTCAATGTAGCACCTGAAAGAAACTTTGGGAATCACTGGTCTATTCCACTCCCTTGCCCTTGCCTCTACCTCAGTGCCAAAATCCTTTGATCTTTCACCCAGTGTGTGCACACCTCCAGTGACCAGGAAATCACCCCTTTCCGAAACAGCCTGTCTCTCTAGAGGAAGTTCTAGTAGGAAGTTGTTTATTGTATCAAGCCAAATCTCCCTGTATTTTCCCCTACTGGTCCTACCTCCCCACTTTGGGGATCTCAGGATCGAGGCTAATCTCTTTGTCCCAGAGAGTCATTATTCTTTTACAGCCTCAGTTTCTTCATCTAAAAAAAATGGGGATAATAATAGCCACTTTCCAGGGAGACTTTTGTGGTGAAACAAGATACAGCATGTAAGGTGCTCTGCCCCATGCCTATTTCCCGGGGGTGGGGAGGAGGTTGAGAAGAGAGGAAGCGTTTTGCTGATTCAACTGTGAATTCACCCACAGGAGGACGTGGACATGGGTCTGCACTATTTTTTCTGGGCAATGTCTCAGCATCGTTGAGAGAGGCCAAGATTTGAAAGTCTAGGAAGGAACTGAGTCTATGGATCCCTAGGGATGATCTGATCCAAGTTCTTCATTTCCTAGCTTAAGAACTGGGAGGTTTGAGGGGCTAAGAGATTTGTCCAAAGTCACAGAGCAAGAGGCAGAGCAGAGACCTGTGGGGCAGGCAGTGGTTTCTTAAGGCTGAAAGGAGCACCAGACCTGGAGTCCCAAGCCCCAGCTATGGGCCATGTGGCCTTGGACTTACTATGTGGCTTTGGACAAGTATTTTTCCTTTTCTGGGTCTCAGTTTCTTCACTTATAAAATGAATCATTGACATAAATATGTTGTTTATATGTTTGTTTATTTTGAGATAGAGTCTTGCTCTGTTGCCCAAGCTGGAGTGCAGTGGTACAGTCTCGGCTCACTGCAACCTCTGCCTCAAGCAATTCTCCTGCCTCGGCCTCCCAAATAGCTGGGATCACAGGCATGCGTCACCATGCCCAGCTAATTTTTTTCTTTTTTAGTAGAGATGGGGTTTCACTATATTGACCAGGCTGGTCTTGAACTCCTGACCTTGTGATCTGCCTGCCTCGGCCTCCCAAAGTGCTGGGATTACAAGCATGAGCCACCACACCCAACTGACCTAAATGGTTCTGAGGCATTTTCTGGCTCTAAAATTCTATGATCAAGGAGGTAGTTATTGAACTTGAGGGAAGGGTGGGACTAACTCATCCAAAGACAAAGGCATTCCAGGCAGAGGACACAGCACAAGCAAA